CCCTCTTGTACGGCTGTTGGGTGAAAATCATATGGAAGTCGTTATATGGATGTACAGAACTATGGGAGTCGAACTTAAGTTTTGGTGGTTGTTTCATAAATATTGTTAAACTTGGCCGAAATGACATTCTCCTGGATTGTCTAGATTGTCACAAGTTTCTTCTTTGCCATGTTTTTGTCTCATTTTGTACTGATATACTGTGAAGGCAAGCGGGTGCAGCCCGGATGGTGTATGTAAGTGTCAGCAGCATAGTGATCGAGAAGGGGATGTGCATGTGTTGGTTTGCGAGATAGTGGGTGGCATGAATTGTTAAACAAACCTGGGTCCGAATCCGAGTGAGAGAAGCTACAACTATGTAAATTATGTGTGCGCGATGAGGCCAGATGTTGAATCCAAACAAGACAAGCTGCTAATTGTTGAGCAGACGCGGGCTCGGATCCGAGCAAGATGAGTTGCAAATTGTTTAGCAGACACGGGTTCGAATCCGAGCAAGGCAAGCTGCAAATTATCAAGTAGATGTGGATTCTTTTCCGTGGGGAATTGTGTATGTTACTATATTTTTGTTTTTCATGGTCCAATGTGGGGCATCTGCAATGTAGCAAGTTTCAATCACTGTCTGTGTCTGCGACATTCAGTTGGGCGTGGGGCAGGGGGTGTAGTGCTGCCCGCCCTTTGTGCCCCCCCTCCCCATGTTGGCTCTGCTGATGCAACATTTGTCATATTTGTTTGTGAATAGAGTCATGTTTGCCTTCAGCAGCAGCTTTATGGGTGTCTTTGTTCATGTCATGCATTGTTGATTTGATTTATGTCATGTGTAGGCAGTGCTCTTATGTTCTATGCTGTCTTTGGTAGCATCTGGCTCCATTGCTGTGCGTTGGTTCATGTCATGTATTAGTGTTATCACGTTCAGCAGTGTACTCAAGCTCGTCTGTCTGCAACGCTCAGTTGTTGGAGAGGGGGTCTACGCCTCTCCCCCCCGACCCATGTTCAGCAGTGTACTCAAGCTCGTCTGTCTGCAATGCTCAGTTGTTGGAGAGAGGGGCTACGCCTCTCTCCCCCGACCCCCCCCCATAATCCTCCTCCTCACATGTTGCCTTTGCTGACCACGTCATTTGTCGTGTTTGTTTTTCATAGTGACATGCAATGTGGGGCATCCATCATGTTTATTTGTATGAGATGTTTAGTTGTAAGGGAGAGGGGCCTGCCCCCCCCCACTTCCCCCTCTTCCTCCCTGATGTTGGCTTTGCTGACCAGAACATTTGTCATGCTCGTTTGTGGAGAGAGTCATGTTTGCTTTCAGTAGTGCAATACAATGTGGGGCACCTGTCATGGTCGTTTGTATGTGATGTTCAGGTGTGGTAGATGGGGGCTATGCCCCCGCCCCCCCTCCTAGTATACTGGCTTTGCTAACCAGGGCTCTGCATCCCTTGTTATGTTCAGCAGTGTATCATCAAACCTAGGAAGCTGTGCCAAGCTCCACCTGTAAACTTTAGCCCCAAAGACACTATGAAGACTTGGGCCCGAGTCAAAAGGACTGCCTGTTCCTAGAAGAAAAGGCATGTGGGGGAGGGGGGGCTACCCCCCGAGAGAAGGTTAACAACAGTTGTATTTTTCATCACCACTTCAAGACACCCTTCACCACTTTAGAATGCAGCCTGCCTAAACAGGTGGTTTTCAAGCTCTTCGGACCTTTCACCACTTCATGACACCCTTCACCACTTCAGGATGCAGCCTGCCTAAACAGGTGGTTTTCAGGGTCTTCGGACCTCTCACTACTTCAAGACCATTCAGGATTTTCAGACTGCCCAAAACTCTCACTTCACCACTTCAGGATGTAGCCTGCCTAAACAGGTGGTTTTCAAGGTCTTCGGACCTTTCACCACTTCAGGACCATTCAGGATTTTCAAACTGCCCAAAACTCTCACTTCAGAATTTTCATTCCTGAATTTTCGGCTACCCGTTAACCGCTTGTGCCTCCCCCATGACCCGTGCGCTCCTCATGTTGGCTTTGTTAAGCAGGGCCCTTCGCAGTGTACCATCGAGCCTAGGAAGTTGTGATAACTCCACCAAAAAACACAACGAAAATGGCCATCTCCTTTTGGAAACCATAACCCCAGAGACATTCGACTATGGAGTCGGCCGCCTGTTAGTAGAATCAAAGGTGTCCAGATTCATTATACAGGAGAAGAATAGCATAAACTAAGATTCTAGGTTGTTGACCCCTTGAATAGGTTCCAACTGAGCCAGACCCATCGCCAGTCCATATCCGAAGTCCCGGGGCTTGAAGCTTATGGCTGTGTTGGGCAGGAAGGGCAAGGCTGGCAAGTGGATGGAGGGATGGACACCTGTGTGAGTGGAGGAAGCGCCCTAGGCAGCGCTGTCGTTGTTTGTGATGCGATAGCACAAGGCTTGGCAATTGGGTGTTCATGGTAGCTAAACCTGTTGTTGCTCTTCAAATCTTTAAGATTAGCCACATCTGCAGCTCAAAGAAAAGACCAGTGCTGCCAGTGCATCTATTTTAAAGATTTTGAAGGACCCGTTAGAATTGGAACGACACAGAGAAGATTAGCATGGCCCCTGCACAAGGATGACACATAAATTGAGAATTGGTCCCAAAAAAAAAGAAAAAAGAAGATTTTGAAGGGGACCAACATGCCTAGCTCAGTTGGTACACTGTCTAAATGAAGGGCTGAGATGGAATCCTAACAAAGCTAGATGAATGTAAAATTGTAAATTCCTGAATTACCTGGGGCCAATCAGTTCCATGATGATATCTGAAGGTCATTGCACTTTCAACAAAATATGAAAAAAAGGATCTACAATTCAATATTATAAGAATCTGCAGGTACCAATGGGCCCTAGTTGCCATGGTCCTTCCTTGTCTGATCCGAGCTCGTTCGGTGGGGAGCTTGCCTCTTGAAGGCCCATCCCTCAGGATAGCGCTACACCTTGCGACACCATGTGAAGGTTCTCACCAATTTTTTTATTATTATTTTTTTTTTAACATCCACGATAGATGGTTAACACATGCATATGCATATATTTTCAGGTCCCCTTATATTCCCAATAGTTTCAAGTCGGTACGGCCGTTTCAGACTGATTTTGGATGCTTGGATGGAGGGACCTGAAACGGGTTTCAGAAGCTTCAGACACTTGGGCTCATCGCTGCGGTTTTAGATGGGGCGTACAAGCTTGGATGGAGGGACCTGAAAACGGTTTCCGAAGCATCAAACACTGGTCATCACCACAGTTTGAGACGAGAGTTGTAGGTTTGGATGGAGGAATCTGAAAGCGGTTTCAGAAGATTTGGCCACTTCAGATCATTTCAGCGGTTTCACGTCTCCCCACCTGAACCTGCTGAAATGACCTTGTCGTGGTTGAACCTTCTGAAAGCGGTTGTAGCTGGCCCCCATTCAAGCACCAGAGATGGGTGCAATCGAAAAAAGTTTTAGGAGTGTCAGCCACTTCAGGTCATTTTAGCGGTTTCAGATCGATGATCGATGATCAGGTGGGAGCAGTTGAATCCGCTTTCGGCAGGTTCAGCCCACGTCAGGTCATTTTAGTTGTTTCAGACGGATGTTTGATGCCCAGATGGAATTAAAAAAAAATCAAAACAGGTGAAAAGTTCTTATATATATATATATATGCTCTTAAAAAGGGTCTGACGAGACGCTTCCCAGCGGGCCCAGGGAAAATTGGTGCTCCATGGCAGGCCCACAAAGCGGCCCGAGTGAGGTGCCTATGCGGGGCCAGGAGCAAACGGTTTCCCACCGGCATATTTTTTTTTTCCCGCTTCCACGCGATTAGCCCCGCTTTGCAGTGTTGGGAGCACACGAAGTCCCCTTCCCCGCCGCCACGATGTTTCTTTAACCCCCCCCATTCAGTTTAGTTTCCCGCCGATCCGTGGAGCCGAGCAGGGGCCGCGTCGATATGGAAAGAGCGGCGATGGAAAGATGTGAGGGACAAGAGAAGATCAACGCAGGAGGAGGGAGGAGGAAGAGGGAGAAAGACTTTTGGGGCATGCGGCGTGTATACGCTCAGAGCAGGGAGTAGAAATGGATAAGAAGGGTGGGAAAAAGGAGGACGAAGAGTGAGAAGCATGTTTGGACCGGTCGAAACGAAGGGGGGAGCTCGAGGAGCAGCAAGGACGAGGAAGGACAACGATGAATGGAAAAGAGGAGCAAGGGGACGCCGAGAATGAAGGAAAGAGGAGGATGGAACACAAGGAGAAAGAGGGACCAAGAAGAGGAGGACGATAAGCATGGCAGACGGCGAGAATTGATGGAGGAGGGGAGATGATGTAGGGAGGGGGTTGCGAGGGGGAGGAGGTCGGAAGAGAGGTTGGAGGAGGCCGCACGAGGGGGAGGAGGAGGCCGTGCAAGGAGGAGGTCGTGTGAGGGGGAAGCGGACGGTGTGACAAGGAGGAGGAGGAGGTCTGAAGAGAGGTGGGAGGAGGTTCTGCGAGGGGGAAGCGGACGTCGCGACAAGGAGGAGGAGGTCGAAAGAGAGGTGGGAGGAGGTCGTGCGAGGGGGATGAGGAGATGGGAAGAGGACGCGTGAGGGGGAAGAGGAGGCTGGAGAAGGATTAGGAGGAGATCACATGAGGGGGAGAAGGAGCTCGAGCAAGGGGGAGGAGGTCGGATGAGGGCAAGAAAGTAGGGCAGGGGGGAGGAGGGGGTCGCACGAGGGATAGGAGGAGGTCAGAAGAGGGGGAGGAGGAGGTAGGAAGAGGGGGAGGAGTGGGTCGTGCAAGGGGGAGGAGGAGGTCGTGCGAGGGAGAGGAGCAGGTCGCATGAGGAGGACGAGAGGTTGCAGGAGGTTGTGCAGACGTTGGAAGGGAGGTGCAAAGAGGTCGCGCGAGTGGGATTAGGAGGTCAGAAGAGGACACATGAGGAGGAGGAGGTCGTGCAAGGAGGTGTTGGAGGAGGTCGGAAGAGAGGTAGTTGAAGGTCGTGCGAGAGGGAGGAGGTCGGAAGACGATGTGCAAGGGGGAAAAGCAGGTCGTGCAAGGACGTGGAGGAGATTTTGCGAGGCGGAGGAGGAGGTCGTACAAGGGGGAGGAGGAGGTTTGAAGAGGGGGAGGAGTGGGTCGTGCAAGGGGGAGGAGGAGGTCGTGCGAGGGAGAGGAGCAGGTCGCATGAGGAGGACGAGAGGTTGCAGGAGGTTGTGCAGACGTTGGAAGGGAGGTGCAAAGAGGTCGCGCGAGTGGGATTAGGAGGTCAGAAGAGGACACATGAGGAGGAGGAGGTCGTGCAAGGAGGTGTTGGAGGAGGTCGGAAGAGAGGTAGTTGAAGGTCGTGCGAGAGGGAGGAGGTCGGAAGACGATGTGCAAGGGGGAAAAGCAGGTCGTGCAAGGACGTGGAGGAGATTTTGCGAGGCGGAGGAGGAGGTCGTACAAGGGGGAGGAGGAGGTTTGAAGAGGGGGAGGAGTGGGTCGTGCATGGGGGAGGAGGAGGTCGTGGGAGGGTAGGAGCAGATCGCATGCTGGGGACCAGAGGTTGCAGGAGGTCGTGCGGGAGGGGGAGGAGGAGGTCGCACCTGTGGGAGGAGGTCCGCTAGGGGGAGGAGTTCATGCGAGGGGGAGGGGGCCGTGAGGGAGGACGAGGAGGTCGTGCTAGGGAGAGGAGGAGGTCGCACAAGGGGGAGGAGGAGAGAGAGAGAGAGAGAGAGAGAGAGAGAGAGAGAGAGAGAGAGAGAGAGAGAGAGAGAGAGAGAGANGGAGGAGAGAGAGAGAGAGAGAGAGAGAGAGAGAGAGAGAGAGAGAGAGAGAGAGAGAGAGAGAGAGAGAGAGAGAGAGAGAGAAGACTATCATATCTTCGTCCAAATGTTGAAAAGATGTTGTCGGCCTTTTTTGGGCAGGTGGTAATTTTCCAAATACCCCCATAAGTTTAGATATAGGGGGAGGGGGCCGTGAGGGAGGACGAGGAGGTCGCACAAGGGGGAGGAGGAGAGAGAGAGAGAGAGAGAGAGAGAGAGAGAGAGAGAGAGAGAGAGAAGACTGTCATATCTTCCTCCAAATGTTGAAAAGATGTTGTCGAACTTTTTTGGGCGGGTGGTAATTTTCCAAATACCCCCGGAAGTTGAAATATATTTCAAAATGTCCCTGAAAGATCCGGGTACACTGGAATGGCCTTTTGGGCTGACATCTTTGTGTTATGCCCCTTTCAGCCGGGTGTGCTAATTTGCAATCTCAGCCTCCCCGTTTGGACCTTGGCCTTTTGCAATTGAACCTACGAAAATTTGGCAACTACCGGGGCATTTTGCAAAGTTGGACAGTGTCCGGTAGGGGTACATTGCAAAGATGGGATCCAACCGATGTCTGGGGTGTTTCGCAAAATGTTTTTGCCGCCGTCCTTCGTTGCAGCGTAGCTGCGGCAGGTCCACTTGTAAGAAACAAAAGAACTTGACAAAAAGAATGAAAACACAGGTGTTAGAGGGCCCTCACCCTTTGAAAATCCCACATTCAGACATGAAAATCACATCCCACATTTAGACATGAAAATCACCTCCAAAAAAAACACTTTCATATGTGAAATGCACTTCATTTGTTTCAGACATGAAAATTCGAGGACCCAGTTGACCACTAGTGGCGTCGGGGCGTCTACCTCCCTGAGGGGCAACAAGGGGGCTTGATTATGGATCAAAGGGCATACCATTGAGTCTAAAATTATCAACTAAGGACCGGCTATGTGCGGGGAAGGGACTGGTGAATTCTGTTGCGGGCCTCAGGGCGAAGGTGGGGTCTATCCTTGTCTAATCATCGGAAGCAAGCTGATTGATTATCCCTAGTCATCCCGATAACACATTCCTGCTGCCGATCCCCCCTGTCCTCTCTCTTCCAGGTGATTTTTGCTATCCAATCTCCTCGATCCCCCACCGGCCATTCCCTGCAGAATTGTGTGATCGTATTGTAGATATCTCTTTACGTGTCTTAAGGTCTAGAGTGTTTGTCACTCTCTGTTGAGTGTGATTTCCATCTGAATTTGCTGTGTAATTTATTCTGTCAGCTCTTCCCCTTCCACCCTTGCCCCCTCCATCACAAGAATGCACCTTTGCCACCATATTGCCCACAGTATTGGCCTCCTCCCGAACCTGAACATGTTCCTTGTAAAGGTACTCTCCTGCAATCCTGGCCAATACCTTGCCAAGATGGATTGATCCCACAGCCAACTAGTTCCCCCAGCTGTCTTTCACCATATTCTGTCCCACCATTGCCAGGTCAGGACCGAGGATGGGCACTGCAGGAATATGTGCTCAATTGTCTTCGCCATTTACGGTGACGGAAAACACTGGAGACATCTGGTTCATCATGGTAAGGAAAGGCGTATTTGTTCTAGATTAGCTGTGAGCCAATTGTTGGTAGGTAAGCAGCGGTGTGTAATCTACCATCGCAATGAAGTGATCTTGGCCGGTTTACAGTTCGTGTCTCGGAACCACCAGATCGGTTTGAGGAGCTGACCTTCCATATTGAAGTGCTTCCTCCACCTGTCATCAACCACATCTCGCAGGGTCCTTTTTAGTAAGCATTTTGTATGATGATTGACATTTAGCTTGAGCAGACGGTTCGTTTTTTGTGCCATGTTGTGTCACCATGCTGTTGTCGCCCATTGCCATTCTCGAGGGTCTAGGGTCAATTCAGAAATTGGGGTACCCGGCTGGAAGGCCTGTTGTTCCTCCCCTTCTCCCAGGACCCGAGTCCGGCAAACCTCCTTGTCCAACCAATCGAAGAGCTTATGACCACTGTATAGAACTTCACTAGGACGTCGTTTGGATGCACATCTGAATCCTCCCTACCCTCTTCATCTCCCCTACTTTGGCTATCCAGTCCCCTTCTTCTAGGACTGAGCCCTTTCCATGGATGGTGTACCAGGCCAAGGGGAGGGTGTCAATTATTATTTCCATTGCTTTTGCCACTTTGTGATATGGCCCGGAGGTGTTCTACAGTTTTCCACTCCCGAGTTTCAACGTCCCGCAAGTCTCGTACGCTTATGACTCCGTGTTTTACCTACCCTTTCGAGGGCGCGTTCAAACTAAACATTAGTCGGTCATAGTGCATCTGAGGTCGAACGATTGCGAAATAGAGGGCCTGAGAACTTCCTCCCAGCACTTGGGTTGAGGTCAGTCTGGCAACGGGTGCTTTCTCCAACTTCTGATGAGTTTGGGCCAGAAGCTATCGTTTACGAAATCATTTCGTAGTTCTGTTTAGTCTTCGCAGTCCCTTGCGCTTTCTTGGGGATCCTCAAGTAGCAATCCTCAGCCAGATAAGTGGGTCGATCGAGGCAGGGGCTTCGGGGGCCAGGTGGGCAATCTGCTCGTGGGCTAGTGGCCTCCTTAGGCTGTGAGAAGAAAAAAGTGAGTTTTTTTAATCCATCAGACTCAATGCTTGTACTTGGGTAGGGGGGTCGATGATGCCCCGCCTGTTACTAAATCATTTCGTCCCTTGCGCTTTCTGGGGGATCCTCCAGTAGCAATCCTCAAGCCAGATCAGTGGGCTGGTTGAGGGAGGGTCTTTGGGGGCCAGGCGCGCAATCTGCTTTGGGGCTAGTGGGGTCCATGGATTGTGAGAAGAAAAATGAGTTTTTTATCCATTGCAGACTCAATGCTGGTACTTGGGTAGGGGGTTTGATGATGCCCACCCCACCCGTGCCCTTTGGTTGGATCACCGAATCCCAAGCCACTCTACCAATCACATTCTGCTTTTCACTGTCCCCTTCCACAAAAAGGCAACCACTTATTTCTTAAGTGACTTGTGTGTCCCCTCGCTTAATGGCACCGATTTGTACCACAAGGATGCCAATACCACATTGTTTATCACCAACGCCTGACTTAAAAGGGAGGTATGCTTGTTGGCGTCTGAAGTTCCCGTACGCCAAGGTTCGTCGTCCGCTTCCGCTTCCACTAGGGCTGGGGGGTCGGCCCAGCCTTGGTGCTTGTCACTGCTGTCTGGTCCGAGGTACCCTCGATACTGGTAGGGTGATGGTCCTGAGTGCTGGTCAAACTGAGGTAGGATAGTAGGGACAGGGGGTGAGCTGGGAGTATTAACGTGGGGAGTGGGTAGGGTAGGTGGCCTATCCTGGCAGGACAACCATTGGCTGCCGCTGCCAGCAATCGCCCGGGGTCTGGTCCTTGGACTCTACAACACCCTGGGAGGTATGCTTGTTTTCCAATCTGATTGTTTTGCCGGGGTGGGGTTCCCAAGCCATTCATCATTTGTGGCGGGCATGCCTTGTGCTGTCATGGACACCTGTAACATGCTAGGCTGCTTTCTCGGGCACCTGGGCACCCAACTTATGCCGGGGTACACGTCCAGGTGCCTGGCTGGGCATGACCCTCGGGCAGGGTTCCGAGCAGCCCCAGCACAAAAAAAATAATAAAAAATCCCGGAAAAAGAAATGTTGTGTAGAATTGCAATGCAAACGACTTTTGGTGGAGGGTCACATCAGAATTCTTCACAGAATCGGAGATAAAAAAAGAAAATATCAAAATCACAGTAAGGCACCCCCTTCCAACCCCTTAGACGCTTTAAAACCAACAAGTGGGCCCGCCGCAGCGCAGAAGCCAGAGAGGGAGAAGAAGGAAAGGGCACAAAGGATGGAAAGAGAGAGAGGAAAAAAGAGGCATTGACATGTGGGAACAGTTACACGCATGCACAAATAAGCAAAAAAAAAAGAACTCCCCGTTACTCTTCCCCTCCTCCCTCTCCTCTTCCCACGCCATAGCCCCGCTCCCGTTCCTTCCCGGCTCCTTCTCCCACTCCTCCTCCCGCCCTTTCTCTCGCTCCTCACACTCCTCCTCCTCCTCCTCCCGCTCCTCCTCTGCCAAACAACGTGACAAAGATCCCGCCATAGCCCCGCTCCCGCTCCTTGTCCCGCTCCTCCTCCCCTCCTGCTGCTCCTCCCGCTCCTCCTGCTGCTCCTCCTCCTCCAGCTGCTTCTCCTGCTGTTTCCCCCGTTCCTTCTCTCGCTCCTTCTCCTCTTCCTCTGCCCGCTCCTTCTCCCGCTCCTCCTCGCTCTCCTCCGGCTTCTCCTCCTTGACCTATACCTCCTCCCTCTCCTCCGCCTCCCACTCGTTTGTTAACCCCCTCCCCGTTTCCCCTCCCACTCCTCCTCCTGCTCCTTCTACTGCTCCTCCTCCCGTGCCTCCTCCACCCCTTCCCGTTTCACCTCGTGCTCCTTCTCCCGCTCCTAACCCCCTCCCCGTTTCCCCTGCCACTCCTCCTCCCGCTCCTCCTCCCGCGCCTGCTCGGCCCCCTCCCGCTATTTCTCCCACTCCTCCCCCCACCCCTCTTCCCATTCCTCCTCCTTTTCCCACTCCTTTTCCCACCCCTCCTCCCGCTCCCGCTCGTCCTCCCGCTCCTCCTCCGGCAAACAACGTGACAAAGATCCCGCCATAACCATCTCCTATGAAAAAAAAAAAGGCCCGCCACGTTGCTAGCCGCGCGTGCGAGAGAGAGAGAGTTCTCCGTCGATAGGATGAGCAACGCTCCGGCCAAAAGGTAAGTCTCCAACCCCGCGGCTGGCCTCACGCTACTTCCATCGATAAGATGAGCAAAATTGAATGAATCTCCCGCTAGAACATGGAAATATACACTATGTCGCTTGTGTGTGTGCTCTCTCTCTCTCTCTCTCTCTCTCTCTCTCTCTCTCTCTCTCTCTCTCTCTCTCTC